AAGGTATCCGCATTCTGTGCACCTCGGTGTTTATCAGCATGTGAATCACAGTCTCACTCGCAGGAGCCTACTCTTCGCTCTTGAGGATTCCCGAGACTAAAGCCTGATGAAGTTGGGTGTTACATCTTACAAGTTGTCAGTGCAACATCACTTTTAAACGTCTCTCGGAAAGCTGGACCCAGCCTTACGTTCTTGTCAGTCGAATGCCATAATAGGCAGATCCGACTTTGAAAAAGCCTTCTTGAAACAGGGTACACAGCTAGCTTCCAGATGGAACCTGCTGTAAAATTGAATGGCTTGACCACTTGTGGATGAAGATAAAGCCGAAGCCTTCATTGCTGACACTGTAATTGGGAAAAGACCTGACACCGAGTCAGTTGGTTTCCGATATGATCTTGGATGTTTATTGTACTTCAAATTTTGTAAGTGGGCTAAAAGTCTGTTTTTGTTAGTAGTCAGTTTAGCTCTCAGTTGAGCCAGGTTGCATGTTAAGTTGGACGAGGAGGGTGTGTGTGTGAGAGAGGCAGCAAGCGGGCCTATTGAGAGTCTGCCGAAGATTTGCAAGTGACAGGCAGGAGTGGCAGTTGAGACAGTTTGGTGTAGTGGTTAAGTGTGTGGACTCTAATCTGGGAGAACCGGGTTTGGTTCCCCACTCCTCCACTTGCACCTGGCGGAATGACCTTGGGCAAGCCGAAGTTCTGATAAGAGCTGTTCTTGAAAAAGAGCAGTCTCTGTCAGAGCTCTCTCAGCCCCGCCCACCTCACAGGGTGTCTGTTGTGGGGAGGGGGAAGGAAAAGGAGTTTGTGAGCCGCTCTGAGACACCTTTGGGTAGTGAAGGGCGGGGTATAAATCCAATCTCTTCTTCTTCGTCAGGGCAAGCAATAGCCAAATGGCTTTGGGGAGGCTGGACAAGCAGGGATCCCCCATCTCTGTTTTTCTCTCACCGTCCCCTTGAGCCACAGTGAGGGAAACTAAAAGGTGTAGGCTAATCCTATCCCCCCCCCCTTTTCAAATTTAGGAAATGGAGCCCCTGGGATGGATTCACACCCAGCCGAATGAGTCTCCTCAGCTCTCGCCACAGGATGTCACAACTCATGCCAAAGTCATGGCTGAGAATCCCTCGTGGGATGGAGAAAAGACCATCATTATAACCTGCAGGTGAGTCCAGAGAGCAAAGACTGGGATGTGGTCAGGACCACGGGAACTGTGTGTCTCCTACTTGCATAGTTCCATCAGTGAGAGGGGCTCAGTCTTTGGGGGGAGGGGTCTGCTTTTGTGCTCATCATGGTTCTTCTCCCCACCTCACCCCCCGCAGTTTCACCCCTGGCTCCTGCACCTTGACCGCCTACAAGCTGACCCCCAGTGGCTACGAGTGGGGCAGGCAGAACACAGACAAAGGGAACAACCCCAAGGGCTACCTGCCCTCCCATTACGAGCGGGTCCAGATGCTCCTGTCCGATCGCTTCCTGGGCTTCTTCATGGTGCCCGCCCAGGGCTCCTGGAACTACAACTTCATGGGTGAGTTAGAGGATCGTTCCCTGGGGTCAGCCGTTCATCACAGCCCACACCCGCTTCTTTGGTCCCTTTCCCCAATGGAAATTTTTTTTATGTGCTGGGAAAGCACCAGGCCTTCTCTCTCCCCAATCCAAGTTCTTGTGTTTTGAACGATGTGAGGGGAACCGCTGTGCTCCGTCTGTGGGGCTTGAACTTCCTGTCGAGCAGGATAGTCTTCCCAGCAAGGAAAAGGGGTTCTGTGTGAGTCGGTGTTTCGTCTTTCTTTCCTGCCATATGTCAGGGCCAGTCGGGCCTCAGCTGTCTTCACCCCTCCGATCTCACCAGCCGCTTCCAGCCAGTCAGGACGTAATTGTTTGGGGGGTATGCCGTTGATCTGCTTCTGTCTTCTCCCAGGTGTCCGTCATGATCCTAACATGAAATACGAGCTGCAGTTGGCGAACCCGAAGGAATTCTACCACGAGGTCCATCGCCCTTCCCACTTCCTCAACTTTGCCCTTCTCCAGGAGGGCGAGGTGTACTCTGCTGATCGAGAAGACCTCTATGCCTAAACCCTGGCTTGGCTGGCTGCCATGCTGGCAGAAATAGAGGACGGTTGACATTCAGCAGCCCGGTGACTGCCGCCCGCCCCGAGGAGTTCACAAACAGCCCCGTGCCCCACCGGCCCACCCTCGTTAGGCTTCCGCATTTAGTTCTGTCAAGGAATCTGTACATGTGATCCATGTGTAGTTTCATCAAATGTTTAATAAACTTTTTATAAATGGGAGCTTTGTGCGAGTCTCCTGTATCAAGGCCGGATGTAGAGGGGAGTCCAATCCGGGAACAGGATAGTACATGAGACAGAGCATGCTCCCAATGACATTTCCTTTGCAGGGAGGCATTTTCTTTTTTTCAACATCTCTTGAGTCTTCGCATTCCTCCCTCAGTGCTAGGTTATGGAAAGGTTCTTGATTAAACCCGTGTGTTATTTACCCACAAGACTCCTATACTGCTTTTTCATCAGACTGGTAATATGAAACAAGGAAAACCAATGAGAACAAGATCAGCAAACAAGAAATAGCCCTGGCCAGTGGCCAACTCCCTGTGCCCTCGCATGACTTCTCCGAGAAAAATGTCCCGTAGCCTTTCCCGGATGTTGAGAGATATCTTTTGAGGGCTGCTCTATCTGTAAACTTCAACAAGCACAAAGGGTAGTGGCCGGGTCTTTGACAGAGGATGGATCATTAAAATCCATGGGGCAGAATCATTCTTCCTTTTTGATAGGGCCCCACTCTGATGAACCAATGTTTGTCAACTGCACTGGTTTTGATTTCAGACGACCTGGAGCATGTGGGGCCTTACAGGTTTGTGTGTTCATGTCTCTCCTCAGTGCCGTACCTACTTTGTGTCCACTTTGGAGCCATATTCTTCTAGCTGAGTGTCTGCACACCCTTCCTTAGCATCCAGCCAACACAGACTTGACTGTAGAGCATGGATAGACCACTCAGTTTCGAAGAAACTGGATTCTGTCATTGGATCAAAAGCACCACTGCAAGTAACATTTGCATTGCTCAGCAGAGCCAAGACAGTGTAGCCATTGTTCTAGCCACACTGTCTCAGCCCTTTTCTCCTTGAAATAGCAGCCATACCATAGGATGTTGGGGAGGGTACAGGTGTGCAGTGTATTGTATATGTGTGGTATTGAGTTGGCAGGTGTGTGTCTATATGGCTTTTGACTTGCAGCAGTGTTCTTGCTGGCGTTCGGTACCAGACAAACGGAGGCCACTTCAGCCCGCTGCTCCATTGTCACAGCCCCAGTTCTGTCCATTTCTATGCCTGCACCCCTAGATGCTGGCATATCTCCAGGTGGGTTAATTGGTATCCAAAGTGTTTCAGTACCATAGCTTAGAACTATTAACCCTACTTTCTGCTCTGCATTTTTAATTTATTGGCTGCCTCAGACTTTTTAATTGCTCAGCTTTGGAGGAAAACCGCATTAAATTCTCCTGTTTATTAACAGAGTTATATCCAAAGTGGCTCACAAAATATTACAAACAATCCGTATAATCAGTTCACAAACCCAGTAATCACACCTGTGCTGGCATACAGAAGCTAGTCAAAAAAGGACTCCCCCAACTCCTCAAGTCATGTGGAAGACCATCCCACAATGTCAGAGCTGCACCCCCAAAAATGCTTGCAAATGGGTTAACACCATCTTGCTTTTACCAAGTGATGGGAGAGTACACAGACACTGCTGGGAGAGATTGTCCTTAAGGGAACAGCAGCTTTGGCACTCAGGATGAGCACCGTGGATAAGACCTAGAAAGAAGTGCGCAAACAAAGCGGACATTTCAAAGCCAGAGAAATCTGTTCAAAGCGGCTGCCCAAAAGTGAGCACCAACACCTGTTTTTGAGAGGTGTCTTTAAGGGCAGCCCTACACAGGGTGTATGACATTACAGTAGTATATGGACCTGCCTTGCGAATTCAGTGCAGCCCAGGAGGAGAAAGAACATTGATACCAAACACAATTAAAGCAATTCTTGAAACTGTATCTACGTGTTTTTCCATCAAAAGTGCAGGATACAGCAAGATGCTGCTGTTTCACTAGATCTGCCCACATGTGATCCTTGCCTTGATAAAAGCTGTCACCCTTCCAACGCATCCTCTGGATTCTGTTTCAGGCTGTCATCCTGTAGGATTTGGCCGAGATACTTACTGCTGAAAGCAGAACAAAGTTCTATTCAAAGTACAAGCTTTTGTGTGCACGCACGCTGCTTTAGATACATCCTGTATCTGAAGAAGTGTGCATGCACACAAAAGCTTATACCCAGAATTAAACTTCACTGGTCTTAAAGGTGCCACTGGACTCAAACTCTGTTCTGCTGCTTCAGACCAACATGGCTACCCGTCTGAATCTATCCACTGCTGAAAGCGTTCTTCAAGGAAGAGGGAGGCGTTTTAGAGGAATAGGGTTGCCAGCCTCCAGGTGGGGCCTGGGGAATCTCCCGCTTTTCCAACTGATGTCCAGCTGGAGAAAATGGCTGCTGGGAAGGGTGGGCTCTGTGGTGTACCCTGCTGAGGCCTCTCCCCAAACCCCGCCCTCTCCCGGATCAACCCCCAAAATCTCCAGGTATTTCCCAACCCGAACCTGGCAACCCTATACAAGAGGAAGATAGGTAATACTGATTTCTTGAATATGGCTGAGTTCCTTTTCAGTTTCAGACGCTGAACTGGAGGCTGTGGAAGGTCGGTAGTTCAGCAGTTCGAGACCCGAGTGTGCCGCATGACAGAGTGAGCTCCCGTCTCTAGTTCCAGCTCCTGCCAACCTAGCAGTTTGAAAGCAAGAAATTGCAAGTAGATAAATAGGTACCACTTCACTGGGAAGGTAACAGCGTTCCGTGCGCCTTGGTTTTTAGTCATGCCGGCCACATGACCACGGAAACGTCTTCGGACAGCGCTGGCTCTTCGGCTTTGAAACGGAGATGAGCACCGCAACCCTAGAGTCGGATTCAACTGGCTTTCGAGGAAGGGAACCTTTACCTTTGCCTTTAAGAACTGGTGCAAGTGGCTCATGGAAGGGGATTATGAAGAACTTGTGGAAATACAGATCCTCTGAGACGTGGCTTTTGCAGGCAACATGAAGGTGACCTTTTACAAGGAGCTCGGAGCATAGAACGAATTCAACTTCCGTGCTCATCGAAGTGATCCATATTTTATCGTGTGTTTCAATCCAAAAGTAAAACGCCCCTTGGGAACGATGGCATGGCTTATTGTTGCTGCAACAGCAGGCAACGCGGCCTCTTGCAGGCACCCGGGCACTGTGAGCTGCATGGGATTTGATGGGGACAACATGGCCCCCCAGATGGCTTCTCCTTCCTGCCGCCTGCAGGCTTTCCTCCCCAGGACTGAGGCAGCTGCTGTGATGGTTGATGCAACTCTGGTCTCCCAGACCCTTTGGAGCCACTCGTCCGTATCACCAGCCCAGACATGACAGTTCTGCGGGTCCAACCATTTCATCCAGGGTAGAGGGGGAGCTTCCACTCAGGCCACTTTCCTCTCCTCCTCTGCCTTCTCTACTTGCTCTGGGCCAGCCTCCTGCGGATCAACAATCTCCCAGGCCGCAGGGCAGGCTTCAGCAGAGCTGTCTTTGGTGCTGGTTGTGCTGCTGCGATACCACAGGCCAAAACTGCAGAGAGGGGGGAAAGAAAAAGACAGAGGGTGAGGTCTCAAATACTTTGTGCTGCTTGATACAGGGGCAGCTATTTAATGCGTCTATAACCAGGGGTCATTTCCTGCAGGAGCACACAGGAGCGGAGCTCCCGCATTAAAGAGCCCAGGGGGCGGGCACATGCAACAAGCCACAAGCCCCACCCTCTGCTCCCAGCAGCCCTCAGTCAGAGCAGGAAGCAGCCAGGTAAGTTGCAGAGCCCTCCCCCCCGCCTCCCCAGTCCAAAACAGTCCAGTGGCACTTTTAAGACCAAGTTTTATTCAGGTACAAGCTCTCCCTCCTCTGCGAGGACAGATCTGCACGTGTCCCCCCCCCCAATAGCTAGCAATCCAAAACAGTCCAGTGGAGTCTGAGCAGTGGGTGTTGCCTTTTGGCACACTTCCGGTGATGTCAGGGGGTGTGGCATATGCAAATAAGTTATGCTAATGAGTTATGCTAATGAGCTCCTGCACCTCTTTTTCTATGAAATGACCCCTGTCTATATCCCACCTTTCCATCCCAAGTGGACCCACACAGTAGCTTATGTCATAATTAAGCCAGTTTGGTGTAGTGGTTAAGAGAGCGGACTCTAATCTGGGAGAACCAGGTATGATTCCCCACTCCTCCACATGAAGCCAGCTGGGGTGACCTTGGGCCAGTCATAAGTTATTTCAGAGCTTTTCTCTCAAGGACAGTTCTCAAGGGAGCTTCCTCAGCCCCAACCCCCTCACAGGGTGTCTGTTGTGGGGAGAGGAAGGGAAGGGGATCGTAAGCCACTCTGAAGCTCCCTCGGGTAGTGAAGGGCAGGGTATAAATCCAATCTCTTCCTTCTCTTCATCAGATACCACGACAACAAAATCACACCCCGTCAAAAACAATCCTTTCCAATCAGAACACAGTATTCCATGCTCCTCTACTTCCATGGCTGGTGGAATGCTCAGAGAGTAACAGTCACACAGGATGCTCTCCTATGGAGGAGAGTATCCACTGGAGAGTGAGAAGCAGGGCTCTTTTTGGGCAGGAACGCACAGGAACGGAGTTCCGGCTGGCTCCGAGTTGGCCACGCCCAGCAGGAACTCATTAGCATAATAGGCCACACCCAATAGCAGAAACTCATTAGGATTGGCTACATTAGGGGTGTGTGGCCTAACATGCAAAGGAGTTTAAAAAGCCCTGGGTTTTGACAACAAACAAGGTAAAGAGAATAAGAAGGGAAAGGTGGGTGTGTCTGGATGACCACACTTCTGGTAACATGGTGGTGTGGCCTAATGGGCTAATGAGCGGTGCTGTCGGGGTGTGGCCTAATATGCTAATGAGTTCTTGCTGTTGGGTGTGGCCTATTATGCTAATGAGTTCCTGCTGGGCTTTTTCTACAAAAAGAGCCCTGGAAGTATAAAAAACCCCACTACTTGGTTCATTTCCAAATGTACAACCAGCATGCAGAGGCACACCTAAACTGTACTTCTTCTTTAAAATAATTGCTTTACATTGTAAGCCGCCCTGACTAGCAAGGTAACTGCAAAGTAGAAAGGCGGCTAATAATATTTCTTAAATAAATGCAAGGCGGCAAGATTCAGTCCCAGAGCGATCCTGTGTGCACGGTACTCCAGGCAGCTCCGGAAGCAGCCCCACTGATGAGGAAGAAGCGGCTTTGATTTCTGGAGCAGAAAATGGATGCTGCCCCTCTAACCGAGGCTCTGAGACCCCCACGAAAGGGGTGGAACAGTAACAAACCTCGGTGAGAGGCCCACTGGAAACGCTGGACTGGCAACATTTATTTTATTAATTTAATCCATGTATACCCTGCCTTTTCCCCCAGTGGGGACCAGTGTTCCCTCTAAGCTGTGGAGTCCTGTGAGCAAAAATTCTACTTTCTGAGCTACTGGCATTAAAGTTGTTAGCAGGTGATTTGGCTACTGTACAAGTTGGTTTGCTCTGGAGCCATCCTTCCTGAGCTAAGACAAAAATGTTTGAGCCAGAGGCTAAAAAACTGTGAGCTAGCTCACACTAACTCAGCTTAGAGGGAACATTGCACTGGGGACCCAAAGCGGCTTACATTGTTCTCCTCTCCTGTTTTCTCCTCACAACAACCCTGTGAGGTAGGTTAGGTTGAGGGAGAGTGTGACTGGCCCGAACTATCACATCCTAAAGGCTCTTGTTCTCTGTTCCATCTGGGTTTTTGCCTTCATCACCTTTGGTTGGTAAGAGGTATCTACATTTGCCGATTGTCCCTTTCTCCCCCTTGGCTTGCTTCACTGCCTTACCAAGTGTTGAGGTATTTGGCAGATTTTCTAATATCCCATGGGCTCAAAGAGATTGCTGTTGTGGGCTCCAATTTGGTGTAGAGGTTAGGAGCGCAGACTCTAATCTGGGAGAACTGGGTTTGATTCCCCATTCCTCCACATGCAGCTGCTGGTGTGACCTTGGGTCAGTAACAAGTTATTTCAGAGCTGTTCTCTCATGAGCAGTTCTCGAAAGAGCTCTCTCAGCCCCACCTACCTCACAGGGTGTCTGTTGTGGGGAGGGGAGGGGAGATTGTAAGCCATTCTGAGACTCCTCCTGCTAGTGAAGGGCGGGGTAGAAATCCAATCTCCTCCTCCTTCTCCTTCCATCTGAACTTTTAACGCATTCTCTGCCCTTGTGCAAACTTTACAGCAATTTTGTCAGTGATTTCTTTCCTAGTAACATCTCCTGCCTCATTCCAGGTCTTTAATCTTTTTTTCTCGAAGCAACAGGCACCCTATTTGGGCAGTTGCCAAATTTCTTTCAGCAGCCCTTAAAGGGCTATCCAGTTGTTGTTAATTCGGGTTTATGATAATCCTCCTTCTGATGAACAACGATAATGGTGCGTAGCTTTCCGCTCCGGGTAACAATCCAATTCTAAACTATATTTTAAAGTTCAACACCGCAATTATGTAATTCTAAATCTACGATTGTTTACTCTAGGTATTTTGAATCTTTTATGTATAAAAGCCAATGTGTTCAGTAGAATTCCAGAAAGAAAAAACAAACAGCCAGCCCTACAGGTAAAAGTCTCCTTGGAAAAACAGACCCTGTGCCTAACAATATGACATACTTGTTGAGCAGTAACTGCCAGGAACTATACTTCTGAAGCTCTAAGGCTTGTTGGAAACTACACATTATTATAATGTAGCAATCATGGGAATGAAGTGCCTTGTCTACACAGGACAATCCAGTTGCTGTGAATGACTTCTGTAGAGCAATACTTACATAATAACCATTCAGGGTGGGAGGCAGCCAGTCAGAGGAGTCTAACTTTCTCCCCAAATTACAAACATCAGGATTCTCATAGGGAAGCCACGACAGCCGATATGGTACAAAACCGCTAAGCCCAGGAAAGATTTGGTCATCCATATGAGCTCCTGGACGACATCAGGGCCCTGCGGGACCTTTTGCAGTTCCGCAGGGCCTGAAAAATGGAGCTCTTCCAACAGGCCTTCGATTAGGGTGCCACCTTTAACATCATGGCCCTGGCCCAAACATCAATGTCATCACCAACCTGACGACCAACAGCCTGGCAGGAGCCTGGACCAAGGGGTAGGCGACCATTGAAATGCTGAGATAAAGCCGCCATATTTTATTACATCTATGTCCTGAGTAAAGGTAAAGGTTCCCTTGCTTGAAAGCCAGTCGAATCCGACTCTAGGGTTGCGGTGCTCATCTCCGTTTCAAAGCCGAAGAGCCAGCGCTGTCCGAAGACGTTTCCGTGGTCATGTGGCCGGCATGACTAAACCCCAAGGCGCACGGAACGCTGTTACCTTCCCAGTGAAGTGGTACCTATTTATCTACATGTAATTTCTTGCTTTCAAACTGCTAGGTTGGCTGGAGCTGGCACTAGAGACGGAAGCTCACTCCATCATGCGGCACACTCGGGTCTCGAACTGCTGAACTACCGACCTTCCACAGCCTGCAGTTCAGCGTCTTAACCACTTGAGCCACCGCAGCTCCATATTTTGGAGTTTTAATGTGTACATTTACATGTATGTTCTGTAAGCCGCCCTCAGCTTGCTATGGTGGGGAGGGTGGGCTAAAAATTTAATAAATATGATGGACGGGAGTTTTCCAGCTACTCAGAGGGTAGTGGGTGCAGAAAGAATTAGCAGCAGCAGCAGCAGGAGGAGGAGGGGGAGGAGGAGGAGGAGGAGAGATTGGATTTATACCCTGCCCTTCACTACCCAAAGGTGTCTCAGAGCAGCTTACAAACTCCTTTCCCTTCTGCTCCCCACAACAGACACCCTGTGAGGTTGGTGGGGCTGGGAGAGCTCTTGGCAGAAACTGCCCTTTTCCAAGAATAGCTCTTGTCAGAACGATGGCTTGCCCAAGGTCATCCAGCAGGTGCAAGTGGAGGAGTGGGGAATCAAACCCAGGTCTCCCAGATTAGAGTCCGCGCACTTAACCACTACACCAACCTGGCTCAGAGAGGTGGGGGTGGGTCTCACTCTCAAGGACTCCTAGCAACCCTTTCTTCTACTGCCCCCACGCCTATTGCTTGTCGGTTTGGTGCTGGTTTTATTATCGATGTGAAATCCAGAACACCAAAGACCTTGTATTTGCTGTTGTTGGTTTTTTTGCCGTCAAGTCACAGCTGACTTACGGCGACCCCTGGTGGGGTTCTCAAGGCAAGAGACGTCCAGAGGTGGTTGGCCATTGCCTGCCTCCATGCCATGGCTCTGGCATTCCTTGGAGGTCTCCCATCCAAACACCAGCCAGGGCCGACGCTGCTTAGCTTCTGAGATCTGATGAGATCAGGCTATCCTGGGCTATCCAGGTCAGGGTAAGACCGTGTGTGAGCACCAACCAAAACACAGCAAGCAAACCTTCGAGCTGAACGATAAAAAGGGTGGGTGGGAAGATGTTTTCGGCACCCACCTGCCAGGCGGACTTGAACAAATGAAGTGGTGCCGGATGGAACTGTTGCCAGGTTGTACTTTTGGATTCCAGGTAGGGGAAGACGCAGCCTCCAGGGCTGGTAACTGATCAAATGTCTCACCAGTATTAAGCAGAGAACTCGAAAGCTCGTGTTACTATGGTGAGACCTCATCAAAGGTATGACATGGCTTTTATTTTTGGATTTTGCTTTGCTCCGATGCAGCCACCTGCTCTATTGTTCGATGCAGTGTATTAGGTTATTTTTAGGGTTCCCTTTCCTGAGAATACCAACATGAAAGGAAATTTTATAAATCTGCCACAGGCAAAAAAAAAAAGTTCTCTTCTCTGACACCCTGCTTCCCCCCCACACCAGTAGGCTGCTCCCAGGTCGAGACTTACAAGCTCTTGATCCTGGATGGGGCCACGGGGCCATCCACTGTGTCTGAGTCCGGTGCAGCCAGCCACACCCCTTCTTCCTCCTCTTCCTCACTGAAATACGAGGCCAGAAAGAAAGACCGTCAAAGAGAGGCATGGGAAAGATGGCGGAGGGAGAGGAGCAAACCCCCCCATAGCTCATGCTACCCAGCTGTGTGCCGCACATTGTTGGGCTCAGGAGAAGTCACTGGGGAAGTGGGGGGGAGGTGGCTGCGAATTTCCTGCATTGTGAAGGGGGTTGGACTAGATGACCCTTGGGGGTACCTTCCTGCTCTGTTTCTCTGATCTCTGTTACTGGGGTCTTGTGGGCCTGAGTGCGGATCTCGTCCCGCTGTTTGTCCACCACCTCCTTGAGTCGCAGCATCACCTCCCTCTCTTGGCGCATGGTCCTGTCTTAAACCAAACGGGGGAAGAGCCTCGCACAAGCAGCCCCCCCCCCCAAGCCAGGACATGGTTGCTCTCCTTAAATATCTGAAAGGCTATCATTTGGAGGAGGGCAAGGAGCCGTTCCAGTTGGCAGCAGCAGAGGTCGATTCGGGGGTGATCGCGGGGGATCGCAGTTCCCCCGGGTGAGGTGCAGGGGGCAGGGCACACGACGAAGCCCCGCCTCCCACTTCCGGCCGCCCCGCTTCCGGCCCTCATTCAGCCAGGAGGAGGCAGGAGAAGAGGGAGGGTAAGTTGCTTCCTCCCTGCCTCTCCCCACCCCTTCCTGCCTGGGGCCAGGGAGGTCCTTGGCGGGGCTTCCTCGCACTCCTGCCGGCCTTGCAGGTCCACCGCCGGGCCCCTGATGTCAGGGGGTGTGGTATATGCTAATGAGTTATGCTAATTAGTTCCCCTAGCTCTTTTTCTACGAAACGACCCCTGGGCAGCAGAAGACAGGACCCAAAGCAACGGGCTTAAATTACATGCAGAAAGGTGTCATCTGGATATTAGGGAAAACTTTTTCACGGCCAGAGTGGCTCAAGATGGAATCAGCTGCCTAGGGAGGTGGTTGGCTCCCCATCGCTGGCAGCTTTCAATAAGAGGCTGGATGAATATTTGTCAGAGATGCTTTAGGCTGGTCCTGCATTGGGCAGGGGGTTGAACTAGATGGTCTGTATAGCCCCTTCCGACTCTATGATTCTATTATGAGTCTTCTTCTGTTTCTAAGTCAGCCCCCACGGGGTCCTTCGCCGCAGCAGGGGAAGGCAGGCCAGACTCACCCACTCCCCGACTCCTCTGGCGTCCCCAGCATCTTGGCACGGACCTTCTTCTGCTGCTTCCGGATGGCCGATTTCATGGCAGCCAGGAGGAGGCTGGGGATTCGCTCGTTGTTAAGCAGCTCCCTGGGAGGGAGAGGACATTCCCAAGGTGAGTTGGGGGAAAGGAATCTTGCTCGTTCTTTCCACTCTGCCCCCTCCCCTGTTTCAGAAGAGCGACAGCCCAGTATCTCTTGCATGCACCCATCACCAGCTGAAACGGGGAGAAAGAAGTCTGGGACAGACCAGGGAACTCACTGCCACATGATGCAGCAATGGCTGTTGGCTTAGGCAGCTTTAGTCAAGTTTATGGGAAGCGTCAACGGTTACGAGCCAAGTAGAGCTACCCCCATTCGGAGGCAGTCTAACTCATCCCCGGAATCCAGGGACAAGGTAGGGGATGGCCATCACCTTCACGAACTGCTTGAGAGCTTTCCAAAAACATCTGGATGGCCACTGCTGGGAAGAGGATGCTGGACTGTTAGCCTGATCCAGAAGGGAACTTTAGGTTCTAAGGTGGAGACACCAGACCAAGGAGAGAAGGCAAATGTCCCTGGGGAAACAGGAGGAGCATGTAGCAGAGGGACCCTGAATGGAAAGGGGGCAAGAACTGAGCCAGCCCTGCCCAGGAGGAGAGTCCTCCCTACCCTGCAAACACCTTGGAAACCCCACCTGAAATCTCAATGCCAGGTGAGAGAACTAGGGGTCATTTCCTGCAGGAGCGCACAGGAGTGGGGCTCCGGCAGTAAAGAGCCCAGGGCACAGGCACATGCAACAAGCCCCACCCCCTGCTCCCAGCAGCCCTCAGTCAGAGCAAGAAGCAGCCAGGTAAATTGCAGAGGCCCCCCCGGTCCAAAACAGTCCAGTGGCACCTTTAAGACCAAGTTTTATTCAGGTACAAGCTCTCCCCCCTCTGCGAGGACAGATCTGCAAGTCCCCCCCCCCAATAGCTAGCAATCCAAAACAGTCCAGTGGAGCCTGAGCGGTGGGTGTTGCCTTCTGACACACTTCCGGTGATGTCAGGGGGGGTGGCATATGCAAATACGTTATGCTAATGAGTTATGCTAATGAGCTCCTGCACCTCTTTTTCTACGAAATGACCCCTGGAGAGAACCACCCTGCAGCCGGAGAGAAGTATTCCAACCAGCCCCCTCTTGGTTTTTAATACCTTTGGTCCAGTGGTCCCCGTACTGGCAAGCTACTTACTCAAGGAGGCTCCCAGAATTCACTGGTTCTGGTTCTGACTGCCTAACCATCCACGCCTTTATCCGAGGCAGGGAGACACCTGCTGAAAAGGACTTTTGACCCAGCGGGCTTGTCGGCAAATAAGGATTGTAAAAGGAAACTGAAACCCCACCTTGAACCGGTGGGTCAAGTTGCATCCTGGCAATAGCTGGATGGGCAAGTCTCCTGTTTGGCAAAGACGGGGACAAAGGTCTTTCTCTAAAGTGGAGCACACTTCCACAATCCGTTTTGTCTGAAGAGAGTTTGGGCAGAGGAAATTTTGGCGTTCCTGGTTTGGCTGAAGGCCAGAGAGGGCGCTTGATTGACCCTTGAATAGTTCCAACAGGGGCATATTTATTTATTCAGGTGGGTCTGAGGCAACAGGGGGGGGGGGGGGAATTGAGTCCCGTGGCACCTTTAAGACCAACAAAGTGTAATTCTGGGCATAAGCTTTCGTGCGCATGCACATATCTTAAGAACTCGTGGGCACTCAATGAAATTGCGGAGCAGTCGGGTTAGAACGGATAAAAGGAAGTACTTCTTCACCCAAAGAGTGATTAGCACATGGAATTCACTGCCACAGGAAGTGGTGGTGGCTACAAGCATGGACGGCTTCAAGAGGGAATTAGATAAGCATCTGGAGCAGAGGTCCATCAGTGGCTATTAGCCACAAGGTATAGATAGGAACTCTGGGGCAAGTGATGGTCTGTCTTCTTGATGCTTGGGGGGGGGGGTCAACAGTGGGAGGGCTTCTAATGTCCTGGCCCCACTGGTGGACCTCCTGATGGCACCTGGTATTTCTGGCCACTGTGTGACACAGGGTGTTGGACTGGACGGGCCTTTGGCCTGACCCAACATTGGCATCTCCAGGGCTATTTTTGGGCAGGAACGCACAGGGACGGAGTTCCGGCTGGCTCCCAAGTTGGCCACACCCAGCAGGAACTCATTAGCATAACAGGCCACACCCAGCAGTAGAAACTCATTAGGATTGGCTACGTTAGGGGTGTGTGGCCTAACACGAAAAGGAGTTCCTGCTACAAAAAAAGCCCCAGGTGTTGACAACAAACAAGGTAAACAGAATAAGAAGCAAAAGGTCGGTATGGCTGAATGAGCACACTTCGGGTAATGTGGGGTGTGTGGCCTAATATGCTAATGAGTGGTGCAATCAGGGGTGTGGCCTATTATGCTAATGAATTCCTGCTAGGCTTTTTCTACAAAAAGAGCCCTGCATCTCTTATGTTCTTAAACACTTCAGGAGATGTGTGCATGCACACAAAAGCTTATACCCAGAATTACACTTTGAAGGTCTTAAAGGTGCCACGGGACTCACATTTGTTTATGTTATTTCCCCTTTCTCCCATAGAACCAATACAGCCCTGCTCTGCATCCCTGGAATGGCCTAGAATCCAAGGGATTTGTGAGGAGAACGGCCCTAGCTGCCCCCCCAAGACGTTTTAGATCCGAAGGCCTGCTCCATCAGTCTCCTCTGAAATCCACCTGCGAGTCACAGCCAGGTATAGGGATCCCAACTAGATCATGCCCCGCCCCACATACCCACTGCTCACTACTGCCTTTCTCTGTCCTGACTGACCGCTGGTAATAGGCCAGCTCCTCTCGCACCAAGAACAGGCTGGTCTTGAGCTCATTGCGCTCTTGAAGGATCTGCTGAAGCTCTTCCTTGGAGAAGCATCTCCCTCCTTGGTGTCTGCAAGGGGGCTCCTCACTAGGTGGGGCTGCTGCTGCTGCTGCTACACCCTGGTCCTGGGAAAGATGGGGAGAGAAGAGATCCAAGGTGGCTCACACTGCCAGCCCAGCCTCACACGAGGCCTCTGCAGACATCCAGGCCTGGGCCACTGAAGGCTTCAGGCGAGCTCTGAATTGCACAGATGCAAATTGTTTTTGCGAAAGGAGGGAAGAGGCCCGCTGCAGCAGCGTTCCCAAACACCTCCCACCTCCGACCCAACAAAGAAGCCCACTTGCGTGTGAGATCCTGCCGGGCGCTGCCATGTCACTTGCAGCCATAAAGTCCAGGAACTGTATGCCCAGCACAAGACATTTAGTGTGCCAAGTGCTAAAGCCCCAGATTGTAGCCACCGAACGCTTGGAATCTTTGTGCCACAGAGCACCTGTGATGGCACAGAGACGGTCCACCCCTCGAGGGAAACTGAAAGAAAGGAAGGGGTGGACACCTTACCGTGCCTGGTCTGGAGGGCTCTCTTCCCCCTCGAACCTTGTTCAGCCTGTTGCCTTCCCGGCTGGTCTCCAAGAGGGCATTCTCCAGGCCCTCCTTCTCCTCCAGGGCCTTCTTCAACTGCGCCTGAACAATGGCCAGCTTGTGACGCAGCTCCTCGTTCACAGCCATGAAGCGGCTGAGCTGCTCCTGCAACTAAGAAGCCAGGCCCAAAGCCCCACACTCAGTACCACGCGCAGGCCGCCTGGGCCACAGCCATCCCCCCCCACCCCCCGCCGGCCACCCCCGCACCGCCTCACCGCCTCCACGTCACGGCTCTTGCTGAGGATCTCGTGGGCCTGAGCGCGGATCTCGTCCCGCTGTTGGTCCACCACCTCCTTGAGTCGCAGCATCACCTCCCTCTCTTGGCGCGTGGTCCTGTCTGAAACCAAACGGGGGAGAGCCTCGCACAAGCAGCCCCCGGCCTCAAGCCAGGACTTGATTCTGGCCCGTAGCTAACATGGGGCCCATGGGGCCTGGCCCCCTATTGTTTCTTCTGGGCTTCCTCCCTCCCGGGCTGCCTCCAAAGTGCTCCAACTTACCACCTGCACTGTACTTCCATTTAATTAGCGGACAGGGCCCCCCCCTGAAGCCCCCTCCCCCAATATTCCCTAGCTACGGGGCTGACATGATTGTTCTCTTTAAATATCTGAAAGGCTGTCATTTGGAGGAGGGCAAGGAGCCGTTCCAGTCGGCAGCAGAGGACAGGACCCGAAGCAACGGGTTTAAATTACATGCAGAAAGGTATCGGCTGGATATTAGGAGAAACTTTTTCACGGCCAGAGTGGCTCAAAGGTGGAATCAGCTGCCTAGGGAGGTGGTTGGCTCCCCTTCACTGGCAGCTTTCAAGAAGCCGCCGGACGAATATTTGTCTGAGATGCTTTGGGCTGGTCCTGCACTGGGCAGCGGGTTGGACTAGATGGTCTGTATGGCCCCTTCGAACGCTATGATTCTATGATTCCAGCAGCTCCACGGGGGCCCTCCGTCACCCGCCCCCTTGCCCCCATCGCGGGCTCCTCCTGTTCTCTTCAGCCACTTTCCCCCTTGGCGCTGTCCAAACAACTCTTTACTTTTTTCAGGATTCAGTCCAAACCTGCCTGGCCCTTAAACGATATTTTATGTTTCACGTGCGCACCACACGGTTTGAGGCCACCGAAGAAGGCCCTTGGGGCAGAAACGCGTTTGGCCCAGTGGCTTTTCATGTAATATTCACTTGTGTCATATGATCAGTGACAGTAGACATGCCAGTTCAGTAGGCTGCCGTATACATTACTTTCGTTTTATAGGTAAGTATTATGCCTTTAATTGCTTACTGATACACTGTGTAATAAGTCATTTGCTGTATTTTTGTCTGCTACACTCAACCTAACTGTCCGAATAATGACTTCAGTCTGTGCCAGGAGGGTGATGGAGAGCGTTATCAAGTTGCAGCTGAGACGAACAGGGGTCGGTTGCTATGGCCCGCCTCTGCATAACAGCCCTGGACTTCCTGGGAGGTCTCCCATCCAAGGACTAACCAGGGCCAACCCTGCTTAGTTTCCGAGATCTGACCGTATCAGACCAGCGTGGGCCATCCAGGTCAGAACATGCATGTCGACGTGCTAATTAAATTTCAGATGATGACATCAGGACATTTTGCCTGTGGGAACAGGTTGCCCTAGAAGACCTGCTGCCTGCTGCCCACACCTAGTCAAGAAAGTCACTTTACTGGCACCCCACGTGTGCCTGTGTGCTGAACAACAAGAACTACCTGTCACTGAGCCAACCAATTTCCTTCTTTAAAAGATCAAGGCGCGAGACATGGCGCTCCAGTAGCGACGAAGCAAAAACGCAGCTCGCAAGACTGACAGGCCCTGGGGCAAGGGTGAGACAGCCCTGCTGGTGCGTTACGACTTCTCACCATTTTAGGGCCTGCAAAAGCACAGCAAAAACCCAGCACATACGCTGCACCAAAGGAGAAGCCGCACAAAAGGGACTCTGAAAACGGCATGCAAGAGACACACGCCGTGGCTTCCCAGGGTGGTCAACGGGCACTACCCAACAGCAACATTTGTGCAACCACAGTCCGCACAATGATGAAGTCACATTTCCCAGCCAGAGAAGACCCCCTTCCAGTCTGGTTCCTCTTTTCCCCGACAAGATAGTTTATGAGCAAAAGCCAAGGAGACCTCCCCTGGAAGGTGTTAAAAGGTAAAGGTTCCCTTGCTCGAAAGCCAGTCGAATCCGACTCTAGGGTTGCGGTGCTCATCCCCGTTTCAAAGCTGAAGAGCCAGCGCTGTCCGAAGACGTTTCCGTGGTCATGTGGCCGGCATGACTAAACACCAAGGCACACGGAACGCTGTTACCTTCCCAACGAAGTGGTCCCTATTTATCTACTTGCAATTTCTTGCTTTCGAACTGCTAGGTTGGCAGGAGCTGGAACTAGAGACGGGAGCTCACTCCGTCGTGTGGCACCCGGGTCTCGAACTCCTGAACTACTGACCTTCCATAGCCTGCAGTTCAGCGTCTTAACCACTTGAGCCACCGCAGCTCCGAAGGTGTTAGGTATTCTTAATTTTAAAGTAAATCAGCAGAGTATTAAAGAGGCAGAGTCCATGGTGTGTTTAAAAGAATAAAAGTTTACTACAACTTAGCATGGGGAAAAGGTACATGGGATGTAAAATAACAAAGTGCTTATATGCCTACATCCTTACAGCTAGACTGAAAATGGCAGAAGGAGAGGCTTCTTCTTCTTGGTCAGAACAAAGAACCACAAGACGGGAAGAGAAGCCATAAAATGCTCATACTTGGCACTTTGGTCTCCAATCAGAACAACAAACTAGATCTGAACTTCCCGGGCTTTCTAACTGTCCAAAACAGATTGGATACAAACAAACATGTGACTTAACAAACATCATTAACCCAGTAAATACTGAAAAGTGTTTTAACTTGTAACACCCAACAGAAGGCCATGCAACGCAGACTTGGCATTTTGGGATGGAATGGCCTCTTCCTCTAAGAGATGCCTCAAAAGGGGGCCCAACCACCGCACAAGTGGTTCAAAAGGAATCTGACTACCAACCACGGATCCAGTTCTCACACTACAGACCAACACCGTATATTTTCACCTGATGGGCCACCCTGAAAAGGTCTAGTAGCCCCGTAGCTGGACGATTTTCAGTGGGGGGAATGACATCACTTCTGAGGTCACAAGGTTAATAAAATAAATAAAAATAGAAGAACTGGAGAAAGGGCCCCATGCAGGGGGCTGTCGTGAGTATCAGAAGACCAGGACGAGGAAGGAGAAAGGTCCTCCGAGGGGGAATAACAGCAGGTGGGGAAATACTGAGCGCCCTCCCGTGAACACACATACCCCTCCTCGCCTTTGGGGCTTGTTTTCCTTTTTTTTTTAATTAAAAACTGGGCATTTGCCATGAACAGGACGTTCCTACCAGCATGAACGGTCAAGCAGTGTTGTTCCAAGGGACCAGGCGGGCCACTGGAGAAGAAGGTGGCTGCCCGGGGTGTGTGTGTGTGAGTGGGTCTGCCATACTTCCAAGGTGGGGGCATCACAAATTCAGGAGGGGGCATTGCCCCTGCCTAGCTACAGTCCTGGTTCTAGGGTGGGCATGCACATTTCCTCAAGAAATCAGCCCAGCCTCTCTCACCTGCCTGGGACTGTCCACCAGCCAGCTGGGCCAAGAGCTTCTGGTTCTCCTCTTCCACCTGGGCCAGGCGCACCTGCATCAGGTGCTCTCTCTTCTGGCCTTCCGAGAGGGTCTGCTCCCCATCCTGCGGGAAGAGGAAGCAACGAGGTCAGAGTGGTCCTGCGCATTCCCCTCCAGCCAGGCCTTCGCTTTTCACAGCAGGGGCATCAAGTTGACAGGGCAGAGGAGGACAGCAGAAGCAGCTGATGGGCCAAGTCAAGTCTTGGAGGGGCCAGTGGCTCCGTGGTAGAGCATCTGCGTGCAATTCAATCCCGCCAGCACACTCAGTTAAAAGGACTGGGTAACAGGTGATGTCAAAGAAGAAGAGGAGATTGGGTTTATGCCCCGCCCTTCGCTACCCGAAGGAGTCTCAGAGCGGCTTACAATCTCCTTTCCCTTCCCCACAACACAGACCCTGTGAGGTAGGTGGGGCTGAGAGAGCTCTTTTGAGAACTCCTCGTGAGAGAACAGCTGAGAGAACTTGTGACTGACCCAAGGTCACACCGGCAGCTGCATGTGGAGAAGTGGGGAATCAAACCCCGTTCTCCCAGATTAGAGTCCGCACACTTAACCGCTACACCAAACTGGCTCTCAAAGACCTGCGCCTGAGACCCTGGAGAGCTACTGCCAGTCTGAACAGACAATACTGACTTGGATGGACCCACAGTCTGATTCAGTATAAGGCAGGTTCATGTCTATTTGGGGGTTGGGGTTGGGGGGAGAGGGGAATTAAATAGGCACAAAGTCCTTTCCCTGGGAATCCGGCCAGCAGAAGCCTTGGAAAAACTGCCTGTCCCAGCACTCCACTGCGCTGCCCTACCAAGTGCATAGCGTCATACATGCACCCCCTCTCCATTCTATTGAGGGGCACATGACACCTTCCAGAGATACATGCATCGATGCGTGCACTACCTTCCCCATATCACATGACAATGCATGTTGGAAGACACACACACCCATTTGATGGAGAGGTGAAGAGAGACATTCCCAGGCTGGAGGAGTTACACAGTGTGGTGGAAAGGGCCATCAATCTGCAGCTGGCTGATGGCGACCCTGTAGGGTTTTGGGGGCAAGAGACGTTCAGAGATATCTGGCATCGCGACCAATGTTCCCTCTAAGCTGTGGAGTCTTGTGAACAAAAATTCTGCTTTGTGAGCTACAGGTGTTAAAGTTGTGAGCAAGGGATTTGGCTGCTGCATAAATGAGTTGGCTCTGGAGCCCTCCTTCCTGAGCTAAGACAAAAATGTGTGAGCCGGAGGCTAAAAAACTATGAGCTAGCTCACACAAACTCAGCTTAGAGGGAACATTGATCGCAACCCTGGACACCCTTGGTGATCGCCCATCAAAATACTAACCATGGCTGTCCCAGCTTAGCTTTGGCCTACCCTGGGTTATCCAGGTCAGGCCTACACAGTAGAAAAAGAGAAAGAGTCCAGTAGCACCTTAAAGACTAACCAAATCAGTGGTAGGGTACGAGCTTCCGTTAGTCACTGCTTCATACTGCCACAATATTCTGTAAGTCTTTAGGGCGCTCCTGGACTCTTGCTTTTCTCTGCCGGTAAAGGTAAAGGTTCCCTTGCTCAAAAGCCAGTCGAATCCGACTCTAGGGTTGCGGTGCTCATCTCCGTTTCCAAGCCGAAGATCCAGTACTGTCCGAAGACGTTTCCGTGGTCATGTGGCCGGCATGACTAAACACCAAGGCGCACGGAACGCTGTTACCTTCCCACCGAAGTGGTGCCTATTTATCTACTTGCAATTTCTTGCTTTTGAACTGCTAGGTTCGCAGGAGCTGGAACTAGAGACGGGAGCTCACTCCGTCATGCGGCACCCGGGTCTCGAACTGCTGAACTACCAACCTTCCACAGCCTCCAGTTCAGCGTCTGAACCACTTGAGCCACCGCAGCTCCAGACAGACTAACTACAGACAGACTAACTACAGACAGACTAACTGCCGCTACAGACAGACTAACGCGGCTGCCCACCTCGATCGAGGAGGCCTACACGGTGTGAGTGGCCCCTAGACGGGACGGG